ATTGAAGTGCAAGGTATTAGTATGGCCACAACGAAATTGTGTACATGCAAAATGGACAACTGCGTTGTTTTGTGTACAAGCCGGCCATTGTTATGTTGCTACCCTATCACAAACATTCGTGAAGTAGGATTCATAACGCCATTTTCAGTTCACTGTCGTGCTAATGCAGTCTGTCGCGAGCATTGTGTTCTACACATAATGCTTGGTTTGCGCTCAGCTAATACGTTGTACTGGGTTTTGAAAACCCATATAAAAATGCTTGTGTTCTTTGTATTTTCAAGTTTTTTATACACATACATATATCCAAGCTAATGTTTGAATATTGTACATTGTATAACCCAATGATATTGTATAACGGCAACCTTAAACTATACAATGACCATTGTATAAAATGTATGTATTGTAGGGTTACACAATGACAATGACCTTTGATCGAGTACCACATACCCATACTTTTTAATTATTATTTATTCAGATCGAGTTTGCTCTATTTCAAAAATGGAGTTATTTGAAGAATGGCGAAAACGTAAAATAGAGCGAAATTCTCGGTTAGTGGATTATGTTTTGACAAAATTTAGTGGTAGAGATGTAACGCCTGATACACAGAAGGATATAAAATTAAAAATTTCGAGTGTTTCATCAAAATTTTCCACCAAATGGACTGGAGCAAATATGATGATTGAACGTTTTTAAACAAAAATCGCAGTTTGTTAGAAGGAGCAGATTTACAATTTCACCTACAAATGGAACATCCCTGTCCTCCCTCTTCAACTGGAAGCAATCGACCTTAAGGTAGACCAAAAAAAATTTAGAAGAGTCGTCTTTTAAACCGAAAAAACGAAGGCTTGAAGACTTACAAGAATCGCGAAGTGTCATCGAGTTGACCGTAACCAGAGAACGTATAATATAGAGAAGGTTCAGGGTGTGTCGATTGTCATCACGTTCCTCTTTTTGAAGGGTTTGAGTTTTCTATTARTGGATTTCACCACAAAAATATTATTAGCGGATTTCACCAATATTTAACATGAGGAGGTCGAAAATAGCAGAATTGAGCATTTTCATTGTTAAATGAGAAAAGTGATGCTAATTTCAATGTACGCTTGTGGATATATATATATTCAATCATA